TTTTTTTTTTTTTTTTTTTTTTTTTGCTCATTTGTCTTTTGCAATCACATTCAGTTTATGCCGATGGTAGCATTTGTTTGGACATTCTGCAAAATCAGTGGAGCCCAATATATGACGTAGCCGCTATACTCACCTCTATTCAGGTACCACCTAATCAATTTGACCTTAATGTCTGTCAAGGATGAAATTTTTTCTTGCTATATTATCGGCAGCCTCCTTTTATCATTTTATAAGATGTAAATAATGTAATTATAGTCAGTTAAAGAAACCTGCCATTGCCTCCTCTGTACTATGCCCAACCTTTGTCGTAGAATGCATAAGGTTCATGTGTCCTCTGGATGTTTATTGTATTAAATTTTGATGAAACTAGCTTAGTGAGCAGGCGGTTAGTTTGTAAGCCTGTTCTCCCTGCTGACCCATGCATAAAGGCGTTGTTCTTGTAGTTTTGTCCTTGATTTTTGATTAGCGACACATGATAGGTTTGATTCACTCATTTTTTTCTTTTAGAAAAAAAAAAAACTAAAAACATAATGCCCTAGAATTTCAGTGTAGGTTTCAATTTTGACCATGTCGTTTTAAAAGTTTCATTTTTGACCTTTGAATTGTTTGGAAACATCCCTTCTGCCAACTCTTTTGTTAACATGAACACAGAAATATGATATGGTCGTATATAGAATAAGGTACATGAGCATAAGTGACGGATTTCAATTATGCCCTTAGACTTTTGAATAGGTTTTAGTTATGTTTTCATTATCTCCAAGTCATGTTCTAACTGAACTTTTAAAATTGTTTCAAAACTGCATAAATATGCTATTAACTTCCGAATTTAAATGAAAATCTAAATATTTACGTGGTAGTGAGGCATCAAAAAGTCAAGGGTTTTAGCTTTATTCAAAATGGTGTTGATTAGGGAGGGAAGTGGAATTGAAGGTTAGAGTTTTAGTTGAAATGGCATCCAGAGCCATGTATTGTGAGAATAGTAATACATTTGTAAAAATTAGCAGTCACACGCTGGAAAAGTCAAAGGAGCAGGGATCTTCATGGGGGAAAAATGGTGGAAGAGTGGGGTTAGTGGAAAATATGGGTGGGAAACTAGGTGAACAATAAAAAATGATTGACTAATGGATGAAGACAAATTTATCCTCCAAGGTAAGAAATTTGTTTTGCAATAGTGGGCCCTGGGTTCGGTTATTTGGGAGTCTTTGTGTGTCACTGCCACTCTTTTTTGTTTATTGCTTAATCTTAATTTGCATCCTTTAGTTGAGAGATAATACACTTTGGGATGGAGGTGTTTTGGAAATTTTATCAAACCTTTGTGTTTTTATACCATTAATGTTTTCCTTTGCAGTCGCTGCTGTGCGACCCCAATCCAAACTCTCCTGCCAATTCTGAAGCTGCTAGGATGTTTAGCGAGAACAAGCGTGAGTACAACAGGCGAGTACGTGAAATTGTGGAACAGAGCTGGACTGCTGATTAGCCACAAAATGGTTGTAGGCGAACAAAACAGAAAAGATGGTCGAGTGGCTTGTTTGCATGATATTGTGTACCTGGGAAGAAAACTGATTTGTTTTGTATAATTTGCGTATTATGTGATATGCTTGCTTGGTTTATTAAGATGAACTGCTTTAGTCTATTTCAATTTGTCTCTCTGGTCTGGTTTTTGCATCTTTTTCACCTAAGTTTTCCTCTATCCTTTAATTCCGACCTTTTGATCCAGACAAATGCCATCATTACACATCTTCAATTAGGGTGCTTACCAATACGATGAAAAGCTATGGAGGATCAGGGATTAATAATATAGACTAGACGTGATGTTTGTCATTCTGCGTACCAAACTGTATTGCCGGCTTAGACAGCAAGGACCTTAGAATCTTTTTATTTCCTCGTTATTTATTGATTTTTTTTTTTTTTTAAATTTAGCAAAGGTAAAATGCGAGCTGTGTATTTGTAGACCGTAGTCACATTTATTCCCACCGTGTATTGATTTCTTTATATGAAAGTCACCAGGTTTACAGAAGTACTAGTCCATCTTTCTTGAACATGCATTGAATGTTACAATTTTAGACAACATTTCCAGTGGAAGGACATTTTGTTTGGATTCTCTGGATGGTGAACTGATCCATGAGAATGAGATGATGATAGATACCTACTTCAGGACAGAGTACTATTCTGAAGAGTACTGCACAATACTCGTATAATATTTTATGTGTTAGGTTACATTCTAGAAAATTAACTATCGATAAGACGTTTTTATATAGTTCTTTTTGGATACAGTCTACTTATTTTGTTCCCAATGACAGGGTTATAATTTCAAAAGACGTTTTACATCAAATAAAAAATTCAAATAGCTCATCATGAGATGAGATAGGGTAATTAGAAAAGCTGAAGAAAGAATAATATTAACGGAAAGCGACAATTGCGTAAAAAGTACGATGACCATTCAAATGAAAAAGAAAAAAAAAAAAAAAAAAAA